TTTCTCTTTTCACTTGCACTCACTTCTTTTTTGTACCTTGCACATAGGACGTCTTCGTCCTTTTTGGGTTCCTTCCCTTTGATACGTTTAAAGACACTCTCTTCCTTCCCAGCTTCTTCTTCTCCATCATCTATAACCAACTTGAATTTTGGCAACTTTTTTCTGAAACCAGACGTCACCATGTACACTCCAAGTGGCTGTGGAAAAGGATTTTCATCCACTGTTATCTTCCTCTTATCCTCGAACGTAATTCATCCCTTTTCAATGGCATCCTGTAACACATGGCGAAAAACCAAATAATTGTTAGTCAAATGTGACCATGCATTATGCCACTTACAATATTTTTTACCCTTAATTTGTTCAGGGCTTGGCAATTTATGCTTATCGTTCAGCTTTATCTGGTTATTCTTATATAATTTATCAAATATAAGGTCAGCTTTGGTTATATCGAACGAAAACGTTCTAGCCTTTATGTTTTCATCTTTTATAAGCTCATCTTTGTCTGACGGTCTAAGCTTAGCCATTATAGGACAAGTATATGTGTTTCCTTTAACTAATTCGGCCAAACACATTTCGGTTTGATCGTAATACTCGTCGTTAATGGTATGAACATCAAAATTTGGGTCTCTATAATAAGTCTCTTTGCTGGAATTTTTCATTTGTTCTTCCTCTTTTATTAATCGTTCATACCTAATCACGCTCGCGCTCAATTGGAAAAGATCAGAAAATTCCTTGTCTTGGAACTTCTTCTTCAAATCAAAGCTTAGAGAACCTTGAGTGATTTTGACAAACTCCTTTTCGGGCAAAGGTACAAAACATTTACTTCTTGCTGTTTTGAACATTTGAATGAAACCTTCTGCTCATTCATTTGGCATTTGACGTAGATTCGCCAAATCGACTAAAATAACTTCAAATTTGTTAATATTAAATGATGTAGAGTTTGTTTGGTTAGATTTTAAATCAACTAAAATCAAATTTTTTTTTACCGTTATTTCACTATTTCAATCGTCATTTTTGAATTCTTCTATCACAAGTAGGACCCACTTTGTCTCTAATGGTGAAAAAATCAATTATCAAAATTCCTACCAAATAAACACGTAGTGTGAATAACGTATACATCCGAGTACCCCAATATCAATAATCTTGGTAAGTTTAAGGATTTATCAAAGTACGTAGGGGAACTGCATTAAACTCTTGTAATTATAGTTTTGAAAAATTATAATTTCTACTCTATCTTAAGAAATCTACTTTTACAAGGTAGCCGTGATAAAAAAAAAAAGGTTGAACCCCAACCTTGAGGGCCCCACCGACCCGTCTCTAAAATTTTGTGAGGAAGGTAAATCGCGAAATATGTCCCATCAGGTCAGAGAATAAGTAGCCCTGATCATGTTAACCCAAACCAGTTGTTTACTAGTGGATAGGACTTGAGAGGACATTTTAATAGAGGAACCAATAGAGAGGCAATCACTGACAAAAGCAGTGAATTTTTGGAAATTAGAAAAGTCGTCTATTTGTCGGCTGACTTTTCTTGCAAATCCTTAATCATAATCTAATGATGTTTTTGCTGTGTGTTTTTTTGTTTAGAATATAATGTTTGGAGTTTAGCTGTTGAACTCTGGTGACCAAAGAATATTCTTCCCTTCTCCAGCACTCTCATAAAGCTTCAACTTTCGAGGACCAGCTCTTCTTTCCCTTACTGTAAGATTCCTCTCTCTCTCTCTCTCTCTCTCTCTCACACACACACACACACACACACACAACACATAGACAGTAAAAATAAAGCAATTTGTTCTTAACAAATGTAAACTGGCCTACATTTTACTTCATTTTAAGCTAAATGAATCAAAACTTGAATTTTTGTTTAACCCTTGCGGCTAAGAGCCCTTAAAATCCCGGCACAGAGACCCAGTTTGCCATTTGTATAATAAGATCCCTAAACGATTGCTAAGTTAAAAATTCCAATTTATTGAATTTTCCATTATTAAGCAATTCCCCATAAATTTATACTGACTTCAATTAGATCTAAAAAATTTAAAACCGCTAAATCTTAATTAGTAAATACAAAAAACAATGTTATTTTTCGTTTATTCCTTCCTCTTCTGATACATTTTTTTACCGATATCATGTAACCTTAATTAAAATTAGCCTCTTTAAGAACTCTCTATCTAAATCTATTATTCATCTCTCCATATGTGTGTGCCTATATATATATATATATATATATATATATTGCCCCCAGGGCATAGTTTAGTGGTGTAAAGGACAGGAGTGAAGTTATCTCATGTCTTGCTAGCAGTCGCAGTGTGAAGGTTCGATTCCTGAAATATGGAATTGTCAAAGTTAGAAAGCACATGCATGGACATTTGAAATCGGATGGTTTAGGGAAAAGTAAATTGTTGTCACCAAAGGTATGGGTGTTTCTTTACTTGTCTTTTACCTGATTATGGAAGAAAAAACCTTGTTATTATAGTATTGTTGTTACATGACAAAACCCTAATGGTTAGATCTTCGAAATTATTTTACAAATATTGTTGAACTGTCTTTCATACATTTAATACCCAAGAACTTGAAATGGAATATATGTCTTGTAGCATAACAATGTAATAAAGACTACATAGCTCTTTTTAATCATTTGGAGGTGTAGAGAAGAATTATTCTACTAATTTATTATTAAAGAAAGAAAAAATAAAGAACTTAGGAGGAAGATAATGCATATGACCTCCAATATACGAGAACATACGGTTAAATTAGATTTCGCTATGCATAGAAAATGGTCGAATGCATAAATTACAAATAAATTATGCCTAAAAGATAAAGTTTTAGGCGATGGGACGTACTCTTGTTGGCCATTCTTCACCAATACTTTTTTACGAATAAGTGTAAATTTAGATAGGACTTCTCTTCAGTTATTTTTATTTTTGGAAATATGTAGGAATTAGACATAACTTTAAGTACAGAAACCGAAAGAAATTGAAAAGCTGTTAGGTGAAACAGAAATTTTACAAGCTTGAAAAGGAAGATTAACTTTACCATCTGAGTGTATAGCCCAAAAGAATAATAGATTAGGATCTGGAATCCATTAAAGAAATCCTCATGCTTTTGCGCTTTAGAAAGAAGGGAATATCTGCCTTTTCAGAAACCCAATTTTATACGACTTTTCTTTTATATATTCTACAATTTCCTCCATTTAATAAGTTGATTTAAAAATATTAGAACCTTAATGAATCAAATCTAGCAATCTTCTCTTCAAAGGAAGAAAGAGATTGAGGAAATTATATTGAGCAAACATTTTACATGTCCCTTTTTTTTTTTTTTAGTTGTGTACAATGTGACATACCATGGCAAGAATGCAATAATATTATATTATTCTCGATTTCAATTTTGAACTACAAGATAAGTGACCAGAGAAATTTACTTAAAGGGCTTATGTCAAAGGACATTATGAAAATTAAAGGCCTCCCTCTTATGAACATATATTTTTTGAATATAAAATTATCCTTTTATTCATCTTCATCCTTTAACATACTTTTTCTTCAACTCTATTACAACTACCCAGTCCCCAGTCCCTGTGTATCTCTAACTTAAATTAGTATGGTGTTGAGGACAAAAGGAAATCCTAGTCGAAACTCGATGTCAATTTTAATTGAAATGGATTCATTACTATTTTTTTTATAAGATAAAAATCAATTTTAATTACTAGACTACACAAATATAACAAGAGTAAACACAAAAAAAATAAAAAAAAGAGTTAGGGGTCTAAAAAACTGGTATGGTATATAGATTGGCAGGAATATCAACTCGAGCTTACCAAATCATGTTACCATTAGGGATCAATATCATATTTTTCCATTCCTAGATCGGCCAACACAGTTTAGATATTGAAGGTATTTCAAATTTGAGAGCGAAATTTCTCGACTTTATGGAGGACGCTACCTTAAAAAACTTTCGATGACTATGCTAAGGCCCGGAACAAATGCTAGCCTAGTCTTTGTCAGTAATATAGTCCTTTTTTTTTTCCCAATATGGTTACTAAATAAATTTTTTCAGGCATTCAACTTTTTAATTAATTGTCAGTATTCTTGAAAATAAATGAGTCTATTTACCTAATATTAGGATATTAATTTTTATGAATCAATAGAAAATTAAAGGTTGATCTGATTAATTGATTTTGATATCTATCTTAATGGATGCTGAATTTTCATTTTCCCTTTTAGTTTATATTATTTTTTTTTTCATACTTTTTGATTTGATGATACAATTGCTTTTAGTTAAAAAGAAATATTGTTATAATTTTTGTAATAGTATTAAGAAAAGTGTAAACATGATTTATTTCTTAGGAAAGTACCTATTTTTGGAAATAAGATTGACAAATAATGATTAAATCAACATATATAGTTATCTTTTGGAATAATTTATATTTAGAAAATTAAAGCAACAAAGTTGGCAAAANACTTGTGATAGAAGAGCCAAACGTATGAAGTCATAGGTTGTTTAGCTTTTCTAATGCTACAAAAGAAGCCATCAAATTTCGAAAGTCGACTAATATTATATCGGGACAATATTTCTATTCCTTTTGAAATATGATTCGTAGATGTAGAGAGTCTAGCTTGCACATCAAGTATTTGCCAAAGCTTCAAGAACTATGCATTTTTATTTTTTCAATTTTTACCCGTGTTTTATTTTATTTAAAGATTTTAATCCGGAAATCTGACAGTAAATTACTAGATAAATCAAGCAGATGTTAATTACTCACTAGAAATTCATATTTTATCCAAATTTTCAATTATTTTTCCCGGAAAAAAGCGTATCAATTCTAGAACTTTCCATTTTTAATTTTCCCTTTATCCCTAAAAGCTGACGGTAAATTAGTAATTTAATTAAGCAGATATTAATTAATCATTTATTCATTAATATTCTGTCAAAAAAAAAAAAAACCTATTCAATTAATTTTTGTTTGTTGATTTGAATCTTTACAGTTCATATGTGATTACTCTGTCAAGGAAGAGTGCCTTTTCTAGCTGCTGTTAGTGATAGGCACGCCTGGCAGGCATCTCACCATCATTCCCTCCACCCCCCACATACTTTCCTCCCCTTCTTTCCCTCTCTCTCACTCGCTCACTCACATATAAGAAAACATAATTCTCACTGAATCAAAATTTTCCGTTTTTTCCTCCCTTCTTCAGAACCCACCTTTTTAATTTATTATTATTATTATTATTATTATTATTATTTTGGAAACAATTTTTAAAATTAGATAGTTTCGTGATTATATTGAATCCAGTTGAGTTTTGGTTCCCAATCAATTTCATCGAGAAAGGTATTTCGCGTACTAAAAATCCACCACCTTTCTCTCTATTTCTGTTTTTTCTCCATTTGCTTTGTAATTCTAATGTTTTGTGATGGATATTTGGGTTGGGGTGTGTGCGATGTTATGTATGTTTAAGGGGAATGGATTCCTATGTTCTGGGAAGAATTAATTTAATTTGAATGTATGTTGCTTTCAATATTATAACTCTGTAATTCGTATGCACTATTGTAATTCTTGCATCTGGGGACCGGGGAATCCATTCTTTTCTAATTTGGGATTTAGAATTTCAAGATCACTGAATTGAATGAAAGGAATAACAGAAATTTGTGAGCCGAGTGAATTGGCCGATCAATTAGATTGCAGAGGAGGCATAATTTTGGAGCCAATGGGCACCCTCTTCGAAAGAAAACAAGTTTAATACCCCAGCCCCTGTTTTCAGGGATTCCATTTCTATCTAAACCCGAAACCTGTATGTTTCTTTCTATACGAAAGTTTGGCCAATATCAATAAAATGGAATGGCTAACGTGCCAGCTTGTTTTGAGGGCCTTCACCTTTGTCAAGTAGGTAAAGTAGGCATACGAACCACTTTGCCTTAGACTCTATTGGAACAAAGCAGAGGAGGCTGAATAGAAAAAGGAAAGGGACAAGGGAGGTCTTGTTTGGTGTGAAGGTTGCTATTTCAGGGGTGGTGTAAATGCTTTTGTCTCCTTTTCTTTGCTTTGACATGGAATACCAGGCTGTCTTGATGGCATAGAATCCCCTTTGACAGAATTCCTGCATATTCATAGATTGTTAGAATGGCTTCTGCAATTGAAGAAATCATGATGAATAGAATTTTGCTTTATGTCAGTTGATTTACAACTCTATCATCTGATTTTTCTCCTGACCTACTCCCTGTCCCTGTCTTGAGGGAGGTGGAAGAAATTGTTTCTTGCAAGAGGTGAAATGTGATTTTCTTGTATCTAGTTTATTTGCATTAAATGCAAAGGTATTGAAGTTGAGTTAGGATTACTATAAGAAATTTGTGATTTTAGATGGCTCACTCGGCCCCAAAGTGAGATTGTACCAGTTTATTACACTTTCCAAGCAGTGGGACACTATATCAAGCACATGATTAGCATGTTTTGATAGAACCAAGCGTGGCATAATGTTCCATCCAAATTGATATGAAAGCATGATGAAGGAAGCTAAAATCTTGATAGATTGAGAACATTACATGGAGAGGGTAATGCATTGTGAAGAGAGTCATACGCGACAATACTTGAAGCATGGAGAGTGTATTTGAAGGAAGATGTATAAGTTGCAGTTTATTTAGTTCTTACAAACGAAATGGGCTCAGACAGTGTTCTTTCAGAAGTTTTGTACAACTGGTTCTTCCTATAATGATTTTGAAGATTTTTTTTTTAATATTATTTTTTTCTTCAACGACTTAAACATTTTTTATGGTAAATGCCTTAACAACAATAAAGAGGGAATCTTCTATTCAAAACAGACCTCAGGAGCATCTGTAATCTCTGTAAAGATTAAAGGGTATTTGTGTAACTATCTTTAATATTGAACTTGTTCTTATCGCTGGCAATTCACACTAGATCAGCATGATATCTTACTGAACTACAAGCCTCACTATTATTCCTGTTTCTGTTTTCAATTCCTTCTTTGTTCTTGTTTATATTTGTGTTTTACTCAGGCTTCTCAGTTTATTAGTTCACCACTCTTTGAGTGACATCAGATGTTAGTTTAGGAGACAATATATTGCCTACAATCTGTTTGATGCTTGACCTCTTTTGTTTCTTATATGCTCCTTCCCTATGATTGTCTTTTTTCTTGTTTTCTGTTGTTTTGTGCTCGTGTAATGAGAATTGTAGATTTTTGCAGTCTTGTTTCAGGTAAAAGTTGAATATAGGCAACTTTGAAGAAGTCGGCAAACAGTATGTCTGTCTCAATGAGAGATTTGGATCCAGCTTTCCATGGGGCCGGACAGAAGGCGTATCCTTATGAATTTTCTTTAGATTTAACGTAGTGCCCATTAGGGGAATATTTCCAATTGCAAAACCAATAGCTACTGCAGGTGTTACTATTATTACTGCAGTCACATTTGCCAATTTCATGTATCTGTATATATTCTTAAAGAAGTTAATTCTTTATGCTCCTTGACTTTGCATAGTGGCATTGAGATATGGCGAATTGAAAATTTCAAACCAGTCCCAGTCCCAAAGTCTTCACATGGCAAATTTTTTACAGGCGATTCCTATGTGATGCTCAAGGTAATTTTTCCACAGTGACCTTTTGCATTCTTCCAATTAGCCTTTGTACTTCGTTGTAGTGACCAAGATAGAAATGTAAAAGTTAATTTTGGAGTTCAAGTAACATGTCCCATTTTGTCATCCTGCATTTCTTGGTTTGTGTTGCTTCACTTCAAAAATTATTATTTTATATGTTTTTGCTTTTTACTGTTGTAATTTTCAGGCCCTAATATTATAAGCTACTTCATTTCTTATTCAGAATTTATAATTGCACCCACATTTCATTCTGGATCTCTGTCTGTATTGCTTCTCGTCAAATTTGCTTTTTGTCGTCTTAATAATTTTCAGCTGCAGTGGCAAAATGGAATTAATGCAGCCAACTGCAAGTTTATGTGAATAAGACTTAGTTTGTTGTTGTTGCAATGCTGAATAAATGTATTCTGTGGCTCCAGAGAATGAAAAACTATGCTTGTAGTAATTTACATTTAAGCAATTATCAAATTGTTCTCCGTCCTGCTAATCCAGAAGGCACTAAAAGCTGTGGTTCGGTGTGTGAAGCATCATGTTGGACTTTTTATCCTAACCATGATGATACATTGCATCAGAAGTTTCTTGGGGAACAATTTTGCCCCAATCAGATAGCAGCTATCCTAGCATATTGACCCAAGGAGACATAAGAGCTTGCTTATGTGGAAGGGGGATGAATTATGTACGCAAATCACATGTGAAGTTGTCCACTGTATAGTAGCCAATTTCAAAGTTTTCCGTGTTCCATTGTTTATATTTGTATTTTGGATCACCTAAATTTCATAAAATAAGGTTCAGAATTCGTTTATTACCTGAACAAAATTAAAAGGGGAAAAAAATTCCTCATTATATTTGACTCGAGTGAAATCTGGTCAGTCCCCAGGCATATGTAATTAGTTGTTAGAGGAGAAACTAGGCATGAGAGAACTATCTCAACGGAAGTGAGACTTGAGACCATATTTTTAATCACTCTATACAGTTCAATAATGTGGCTCCCAATTCTGCCTCTGTTTAAGCAAGTCAAAACATAAAATATTTGGGCACAAATTTTCTGGCCAGTGCTCAGTCCGTTGTTTTTAGCATTGTTGAACATTAACCAAAGGACGTTTTATTTGTTGCATGTTATTTTGAATTCATTGAAGACTCAGTCTCCTTTTATTTGCTGTGAAATCCTGGACCTATTTATTTCAGTGAAATTATTATTCTTTCTTCAGACCACTGCCCTGCAAAATGGTGCCCTGCATCATGATATTCATTATTGGCTTGGAAAAGATACTACCCCCCCCCCCCCCCCCCACACACACACACACACACCACATTTTATCAATTTAGGAATTGAACACATTATTACTTGATTTCGAAATGCTTCTCTATATAGGATGAAGCTGGCACTGCAGCCATCAAGACTATTGAATTAGATGCAGCTCTTGGGGGTCGAGCTGTTCAATACCGTGAAGTACAAGGGCATGAAACAGAGAAGTTCCTTTCCTATTTTAAGCCATGTATAATACCTCAAGAAGGAGGAGTTGCTTCAGGCTTTGAACATGTGGAGGCCGAAGAGCATAAAACCCGCTTGTATGTATGCAAAGGAAAGCATGTCGTTCATGTGAAAGAGGCAAGTTTTATGTTCTTCTCACTCTTCCTGGTGATGGTTACTTATAAAAATATTTTTACTGACAGCTTATATCTTGTACAGGTGCCTTTTGCTCGATCTTCACTCAATCATGATGACATCTTTATTCTCGATACCAAGTCTAAGATTTTTCAGTTCAACGGCTCCAGCTCATGTATACAAGAGAGAGCTAAAGCACTCGAAGTTGTCCAGTACATTAAAGATACATATCATGATGGAAAATGTGAAGTAGCAGCCATTGGTAAGCATACTGCTAATTGAATGTTTAGATGTTAATTCTTAAATAGCCATTGCATTATAGCTTCTTTTTTTCTACTGCAGAGGATGGAAAATTGATGGCTGATGCTGACACTGGTGAGTTTTGGGGAATGTTTGGTGGTTTTGCTCCACTTCCAAGGAAAACAACTGATGAGCCTAGGAGCACTGATGATGTTCCTACGAAGCTTTTCTGGTAATTAGGGGGTGTTTGATTCCCATTTTTCCTAAAATACATTTTTCTCTCTCTTCTTTTCAACCACATATTTTTTATTAAAATAATATTATACACAAACCATAAGTTTTTCCTTTTTTTTTTACCCACAAAATTTCCATCAATCTACTATTCCAAAATACATTATTCAAAAAGAATGGGGCTCAAACACACCTTTAATGTCTGCCATTCAAGTTGCTTTCTCAGGTCTCTTCCTTACATAGAACTCGTGCTCATTATACATATGAATTACGTGCTTTATTGCATTCAAAGGCTCAAATTGAGATATAAGATGTTTATATACTATTCAATAGTTTTTTCTTGACGTCATGTGCAGAAAAAGATATTTATGGGATCTGTAATACGACAAGCTAAAAATGTTGATGATAATTAATCCCCTTTTCTTTATTCTCTTTGAATGTTGGTCTCAGCTCAGATGTTCCAGAAGAATACATAATTATAACATTTCTACTCTTTCTTGGATTGGTTGAATAGATATTTGCTGCACCCATTAATACACAGTGCATATACATCTTCACTGCTATTCCATTATCCTCATGAAAGAGTTGGAGGAAATTTCCTGATTTATATACATGATATGCAAAATAATTTCTGTGTTAATAATTGTTCTGCAATGAGGAACCATAAAATTATTACATCTTAGTTTTGACAAGCCGTGTTTTCTTTTCTAGTGTTGAGAAGGGACAGGTAGAAACAATTGAAGCTGAATCTTTGACAAGGGAGTTGCTAGACACAAATAGATGCTATGTGCTTGACTGCGGGACAAAAGTCTTTGTTTGGATGGGGAGAAATACTTCTCTCGAGGAAAGGAGAGCTGCCAGTGTCAGCGTTGATGTAATTCTAGTTGCTTTGGTTGCTTGAGGTTTTCAATCTTGCTTTTTCCATCCATATTCTTCTCTACTGTTTTACACTCTCCTTCACTATATAGGAATTACTACACAGCCTTGATAAACTCAAATGTCATGTAATCCGAGTAATTGAGGGGTTTGAGACAGTGATGTTCCGATCAAAGTTCGACAATTGGCCACAGTCAACAAATGTGACAGTATCGGAGGATGGTAGAGGAAAGGTTTCTGGTTAGTAATTCATATGGCTGATCAGTGTTGCTCACTTTAAAATTCAACTCATATGCAATATTTTATTTTATTTTTTATTATTATTATTTTTTTCCGTGTCTTGACAATTATCCGGGGCTTTCTCTTCTCAGCCGTATGAATTCTTATCATTTTATTTCACTTGATGCTCCAGCACTTCTAAAGCGGCAAGGGGTTAATGTGAAGGGTCTTCTGAAAGCAGAATCTCCCAAGGAGGAACCTCAGCCACATATAGATTGCACAGGCAATTTACAGGTGGGGGGGGGCACATCTGCTACCAATCCAGAAATGAATAAAGTGCTGAATATCGTGTTTTAGAGAAAATAGCTTCTTTATGATTTCTCACTCAGTCTTAGCTGTATTACGACATATATATTAATAAGAAAAGCATGGTGAAGCATCACATACAATTCTTTAGGAGTAGATAGCAAAAGTTGACTATAAATTGCAAAGTAAAAAGAAAAAAAAAAGAAGGTAATTAATGGCGCTCGTCATACCATTTACAGAAAGCTATCTATCCTGTGTATAATTTGCTCCACCCTTTTAAGCAATTGTACTTAGATGTACCTAAAGTTACATGTTCAGGAGTCTTTACCTAGCAACAGATGTATTCTCCGAGTAAGGCTGCATAATACAATACAAAGAGTGAGATAATGCATTTGTGAGTTGGTACAATTCTAAAAAAATGTCCACAAAACTTAAAAATAATGTAGGAAGGAATTAATGAGGTAAACAGGGTGTTTTAGAAAGTATTTGAGATGAAAGTGGAATGTAAAGCATAGGCGGTACAGTACGAGAAGAGTTTGGGTACAACTCTTCTTTAAAACTGGCTAGTAAGGGGAGGATGATCAAGTAATTATAGCTCTCAAGCCTAACTTTAACTTAGCAATGCAATCATAAGTAATTACAATCCACACCTCATTTCAGAACTGAAGCCTTTGATAGCTAGTATTTAGCTGAGGGACTTCAAGAAAATAGTCTTCTATAGGAAGTAGTCTTCTCCAGTGCTCCATATGCAGCGGGCTATCCTGATACCGATTGTTATAAGTACATAGTGAAGAATTCACCCTTGAATCTGGCGTGTAAGGGGAGTGTGCCTAAATGATGATAAGTTCGCAACGCAAACCTTTAACTTGGGGTTGTTACAATTGCTTCATCAAATGTTTAACAAACTTCTAGAAGGAATTTTGATGTCTCGCGCTTTTGTGCTGGAGTACAGATCTGTTGAATGGTATTTAGACATGTCTGAATCACTTTTTGAATCAATATGCTTCTCTTCAGCAAGGAAATTGTCTGGCTAAATTTTCTGTTTAATAATTTGTCGTTTACGTTATTTTTGAACTTGGTCCCTTGACTTATGAATCTCAGGATTCTTTCTTAATTGGTAATTCAATTGTGGTTGCAATTTCAGGTTTGGAGAGTGAATGGCCAAACGAAGACTCTTCTCTCAGCTTTGGATCAGTCAAAGTTGTATAGTGGAGATTGTTATATATTTCACTATTCTTATCCCGGAGAAGAAAGAGAGGAACATTTAATTGGGACATGGTTTGGAAAGCAAAGTATTGAGGTGAAGTTCTTATGTTGTTCCAGTTTTTCAGTTGTTCTCTATTTCCAGTCTTTCCACCTTAAGCATTATTTCCCTTGTATATCTCTTTTACCTCTCCTATATAAAAGAAAAAAAGCAAGACAAAGAGAAATATAGAAGTAAATGAAGACTACATAAACTGCATCCATGTGTGAGTATCTGCAAGCCTTTGGGATGTGGGATCTTCCCTGTCTACCTTCCTAATTCGTCTGTATTGAAGTTATTCTAATAAAACCATTGTTGTAGTTATCCCCAGCAATGGAAACTTCTTGTGAATTTATTGAACAAACTAAGCTGGCCAATTCTAGACTTACAATTGTAAAGCCTAGTTGCATTACACAAGATATAAAATATCATTTCCAATATTTAAAGGGTTACAATCAGTTGTTTCTTTATTGCATATAACTTTCCTTATTTGTCCTTCATTGCCCTGTTGTGAAAAAAAAAGTACCTCGGGATTCGTGCCATGTATGTGGCACACAGCTGGTTTTATCGATGTGAATCAACAAATCACAGGAGAATTGGATCATGTAGATATTCTATTCTTCCTAAGATGCTCTGATTACAAACAATAACCTAAAAAATGATCTTCGCAACACATTTATTGATGGCATTACGAATAGTTTAAATCTTGCTTTACAGGAAGACAGAATCTCGGCAACTTCAGAGGCAAACGAGATGGTTGGGTCACTGAAATTCTTACCTGCTCAGGCATGTCAACCTACCTCGATATCTTATTGTAATTTAGTTTGATCATCAAATTCTATATTTGGATTCTAATTGACGGTTTAATTATTATGGATCTCTAGGCTCGCATATATGAAGGAAATGAACCGATCCAGTTCTTTGCCATCTTTCAGAGCCTTATTGTCCTTAAGGTTTGGAAGGACTTCAACTACTTAGAACAGATTCCACAGAATTCATTAACTCTCTAACCTATCATGCATATATCTCTTGTTTGTATTACTGGCTGTTAATGCCAAATTTCTCCATACGTCTCCAGGGTGGCCTTAGTAAAGGATACAAGAATTACATAGCAGAGAAAGAACTTCTAGATGACACGTACACAGAGGATGGGCTTGCATTATTTCGAGTACAGGGTACTGGACCTGATAATATGCAAGCAATTCAAGTCGAACCTGTAAGTGTTGTGTCCAATTATTTCATCTCCCTCTTATATGGCTGGTAGTTGGTTCTGGGCCTCAAACATGTCTACATGTAATCTTGCAAATCTGGTGAGATTCACTATGTTCCTATTCTTTTTGTCTTACTGGTAAGCTCCACAATTCTGAAAAACCATTAGTATCTAGTAGTATTTCCATTAGAAGATGCAAACATGGATTCATGGTAGTCTGATGTAAGGTTGTTTTACCTTCTTCAATTTGATGGATGATACATTCTTCTTCTAGGGAATTAATTCATAATATCTGGCTATTTTATGGAGTCTGAAAATAGTGTCTGCTATGGGAGAATTGATGTTTTGAGGCATGATGAGAATGACATTAGTTCACTTTGGGTGCCTTGTCGAGAAAATTTTAAACAATAGTGCACATGATGGAGTTGTCGGGTTTTGGGCTAATTGGATAAAGTAGAATTTTTTTATATCATTTGTTAAACTGTCATAATCATTGGTGAAACAACTTCTCTTTTTGGAAAATCCAGGCTCCAGAGGATCACCAATAATGAACCCAGTTTTCTTTTCTATTAATTCTTATCATAGAGGTTCTTAGAAGATTCATGCAGAATCTCTTTGTTGGAGGAGTAGGAGTAAGAGTAAGTACCAGGCTAGCTTAATATCTGAAAGCATCATCAGTAACAGGCGCTGCCTTTTACACACAACACCATATCCTTTGTGATGCTAATGCAATGCAGCTTTAGGGTCTTTGCTCTGTGCTGTTTTATTGGGATTTTAGGCTTGACCAGAAGGAAAGTGTCTTGTTTAAGGAAGGACGAATCATGAAATTCTGGCAGCTACTTCTTGTTGTAGGATGGGCATATCACCCACTAAATATATGGGGATGGCCCTGAGATATGATATGAATTTGGTGGAAGTATAGAATTTGTTGCACTATAAAACCACGACATTCAAGCTCAATAGTGGAGTATTAATCCTGTAAAAGAAGAGTGGATAATTTAGTGAAGAGATTTCAGTTGTTAATAACAGTGTTACCCCCAAACTGGGAAGGTCTTGCCCAACAAAGACACGAGTTGGTTGGCCGCAACCAGGCCATGCAAGTAAACTAAAGACCTTGTAGACTGGAAAAAGGCAGGAATTCAAAACTCTGGGACAATGAAATTCAATAGAGGATCCAGATTCAGCAAATCTAGCTCATATGTCTTGCCAGAAATCAGCTCAGATGCTAAAGTCTAAAGTGGACTTCTTTGGAATCCCATCTAGCAAGATTCAGCAAATGTCAACAACTTTTGTTAATACACTTCTAAGACCTTAAAAGTGTATTCCAAGCACATTCTAGCAATTATTATAGAAAAAGCTATTATTCATATTTTTATTTTTTTTGGATATGTTGATAGAAACTTCTTAATGATTCAAACTATCAATTTTGGGAGTCTATAAAGTTCAACACATTTACTTTACACTCAGATGACTATTATATTAAGGTAAAATTCACATACTTTTTTCTTAACCAAGCACGTCATTTCTTCCAAATAGAATATAGTCCATAGACATTTCAGTATAAATCTCTATTCATGGTTTATAATTTATTAGCATCTCAAATCCTTTGAAAACCATCTGGAATAATTCGTGGTTTTAAAGCCTTTGTACCTTGTTTAGAAGTGTTAAATGAAGCCAATAATTTTTTTTCTCTGATTTGATTCAATGTCTTTAGATTTATATCTTCAAGACTCTGGTACTTATAATGCCTGACATACAAGTAGTGTTGTTTTAGGTTGGTAGGTTCTGGTATAACCTTCTTTTGGCCAGATGTGTTTTCGATTAAGGTCTATGCAAATTGCAGATGACATAATTTGTCCATGTATGACGAAGTTCATGGCCATGCCAAACGACTTCAATTAAATTCACAGAATATATTTATGATTCAAGTTATGCAATTTTGCAAACGATACAATTTCCCAGTGTATTACAAAATCTATTTCCTTGCCAACAACTTTAATTAGATTTATGCATTGAACATGGGGGAGAAGGGGCATTTATCTCATTGCCCCACCTCATTCAGTTAGCATGATATTGAGAACATCCTTTTTTTTTCATGAACGTCTTTCAATTTCACCCCACTGATCCATAAAAGTTTGATGCATCAAAATTAATTTTTCTAATTTTTTTTTTTAAAGATATATTTCTAGTGTGATGACAAATATTTAGGCATTTCCTTTTTGGTGGAAAATATTCTAAATTCTTAGATCATCCCTGCTTTAACATTTGTAAAACAATTTACCATCTTAAATATTTATAAATGAATCCTTTTTGCTTATTCTGTACATGATGAGTGATGATTCTGAATTTACTATATGGGAACAACTTCTATTTGCCTCAAAATCATTGAAAAAGGTGAGGAACTTTTCTTTTTAGATAACCGAGTCATTTAACCATGATACATGATTGATAGCATTCATCCCTTTTACCATTTGCAAATCTTCTGTTCATCACTGTATAATATCCAACGAATTCACGAATATATTGTTCTCCATCTTTTTTACCCTGCTCTAATTCTCTATTTATGCAGCCTCGGGGATATGAATTCTTTACTCAATTTGATTCAGGTGGCGACGTCTTTGAATTCCTCTTACTGTTACATATTACATAATGACTCCTCTGTTTTCACCTGGTATGGAAACCTTACAACACCTGAAGACCAGGAACTTGTTGAGAGGCAGCTGGATCTTATAAAGGTCTTATTATCGTTATGGATATTTATTTTGTTTCCCAGTAAAAGCTTTCAGCATTTAGAATTATCCACTAGTAGAAATCCATATTTGCATTGTCTTTGATAATCCGAACTTCCAATATTACCATACTTCAATCTTTGGCAATTGTGCATCTTACAGTATACTATCAAACAATGCAAAACCAATAAGTACAGGGAAATTTAATATTTTTATCTAGTCTTTTTTGCCTTACCTTTGTCTTGTGCTGGTTCAATTTGTGCTTTCAGCCAAATATGCAATCCAGACTACAAAAAGAAGGTGCAGAATCCGAGCAGTTCTGGGATTTGTTAGGCGGAAAATCAGAGTACCCAAGCCAGAAAATTTCAAGAGATGCTGAAACTGATCCTCATCTATTCTCTTGCACCTTCTTGAAGGGTATGGAGAAATATCTTCTTAATCCATTTTGCATTTTAATTATTAAATTCACACTTCTGTTTTGGATCATGCTAACTCTTTTTGTCCTTCATGTATCATTCTATTGTACCTGAATTCCGCGCTGGTCTTCAGGAGACTTGAAGGTGGGCATTTTCATGTCATCTTTTTATTCCCTAGAAAAATAACAGCAATACAATTTAATAAAGACTTTCAGCTTTGCATTTATGCTTGTTTTTGTCATTACTAATAAAAAATATGGATATGAGAAAATGCATTGTTTGGAATTTGATGTTTCGGGATTGTCATGACAACCTTTATTTATTTATTTATTTATTTATTTTCCCCGTATTAGATTATCCTCTACAATGTTGAATATGATTATTTATTGCAGGTGACAGAGATATATAATTTCAACCAGGATGATCTAATGACTGAAGATATATTCATTCTGGACTGCCATTCAAATATTTATGTATGGGTTGGACAACAGGTTGAATCCAAGGATAAGATGAATGCTTCAAGTATTGGAGAAGTATGTGTTAAGTTACTTTTCTTTTGGAAATATGAACTGCTACCTGTGGACTTTGCAATTACATTTTGTGAAAATCGCATGGATTGTTACTTTTCAAAATTTTCCAACTTGATTTAGTTATGTAAATTTAATTGGCTAAAATGAATGGGAATATTTGTCTGCACTTTCTGGAGTAGAAATTTATAGATGAATTGAACTAGTTGGAAGTAGCCACCGGAAATTCTACTCAGGTTGTATGTTCTTGGTGCCTAAGATGGTTGAAAAATTGCTCATAAGATCTTTTCACCTGTTATTGATTTCAACAGAAATTCCTGGAGCGCGATTTCCTTCTTGAAAAATTATCTCTTCAAGCTCCAATATATATTGTTATGGAGGGGAGTGAGCCAACCTTTTTTACTCGGTTTTTCTCTTGGGACTCCACAAAATCTGCTGTAAGTGATTTCTCTATTGAGTTTGATGTAAGTTCTGGGAACTCGGCTTTGTAAGATACTTCATGTTTCTGCAGATGCATGGGAACTCCTTCCAAAGAAAACTTACTATTGTTAAACATGGGGGAATATCGATGGTGGATGTAAGTTTCTTTTCCTTCGTTCTTTCATTCCATATTCTCTTATATTGAGACACAGTTTGCATATCTACGATATCACTCTCATTTTGGTTCCGCAACGGCAAGTGCCATATCTGCCAATTTGTTTTTAGTTTTGTATGATAATAACAGATCTTTTAATATGCTAACATGTTGGAGTATTATAATTTCACTGAAAAATGTTAGGGCACGATTATGCAAGTGCTATTGATGTCATATTCTTTACCATATCATTTGCAAAGCTTTTTATGTTACATTACACATTTTGTTGTCAAATTTTCTTATTGCGATTCATTTATTAATTTTAATTGGAACTTTACTGAATTCTTTTTCTTTTTGTTAGTTTAACACCTTTTACCACTATTCATTTTCTCATATTCTTCCCTGTTAGCTATGGATCAAGAAGTAATTGTGGGATGGGGAGGATCTGTAATGTTGGAATGCCATATGAAAACAGTTACATATGACCGTGTTATTAGGGAAAAGTTGTGACATAGCCTTTCAGTCAATTTTTTCATCTAACCTGTAGAAGGCATACATTTCATCAATGAATTTAAACACACAGTAAGGTGTCAAAATCATGGCTAGATATAGTTCCAGAACTAGATGACTGATTTCTTTTCTAAACTGAGGGTTTTAAAAAAAGAGTTTACTTGTCATCCAAATATAGAATGAGAATGGCAATGGAGCTGGTACCAAAATTAGAGGCTGTTTGTCAGTTTATCCTTGGTTTCTCTCTCCAATCAATCTTTTGCATCTTTTTCTTAATTGGCTCCTGAGAGAAAGGGAAGGGAGACAGAAAAGCTCGTGCTTCTAAAAGGAATTTTACTTGACTTATCCTGGTTATGCTAAGGTTCTCCATCTGTAATTGTTAAATATATAGTTCTATCATACAAGAACGGTTGGTTACCTTATGGAATATTATATAATCTGGTCAGTTATAATATGTCTTTGTAGAATTTTGGGCATCAAAATGATTATCTTCTTGAAAAAACTCCAAGATATGGGTGATCATGTACATCGATTTCTAGCCGAAATTATAAATTTCTTCATTCATTACGGTTTAACATTTGGATTCTAACGTATCATATTCAGTATTTGATACTAACACTAAATGTGCTGATTTTTTACTATTAATTGGAGTAATTTGGAGTGACAAAATAAGGCTGGAGAACTTGCCCTGCTACCAAAAAACGTAGTGTTAACAACTAAGTTAAACAGTTTGACTGTATTGTTTATATATGGCAATTGGGAACGCTATCTATATTTTCGTATACACCATGCTTAAGTTGGAGCAAGAACTTCGATGTTATGAAGGCACAATTTATCATTACTTGTCTTATTTTCTCTGCTATTAAATGCATGACACACGGTAGAAACCCAAAAGGAGAACTCCTGTATCATATGGTGGAAGGTCAGCTGTACCAGAAAAATCACAGCGTTCTAGAAGCATGTCTTTTAGCCCCGAAAGAGTTCGTGTGAGGGGCAGATCCCCAGCATTCAATGCTCTAGCGTCGACCTTTGAGAATTCCAATGCAAGGAACCTGTCGACTCCTCCTCCGATGATAAGAAAGCTTTATCCGAAATCTGTGACCCCTGATTCAGTTAATTCGGCTTCTAGATCTGCAGCTATAGCAGCATTAAGTTCAACTTTTGAAAAGAAGACGCTGGCTCGGGACGTCAATCTTCCACGTTCTCCTAAAGGTGATGCTTCTCATGTTTTTTCTCAATGGATTAAAAACGCTAGTAGTCAATCAATGATGAAGTTTTATGTTAGTCACTGAATTCTAAAGTGGTCGCTGAAATTTAGTTTGCATTTAATTTAGTTGCTCAATAAATATTCATTAGTTTTTAACGGAGTGTCTGGCTTGGAAGACGGCTGTTCAACATGGCATCTACATGGAGGTCTTCCACGCCATCCATACCATTAAAAATGTGAAAGGATGCTAATTTAGTGACTTGCCTAAACAAAAAGTAAAATTGAGCAAATACTTCGAAGCAAAATAAAGTTAGGTGACTAACATGAAACTCCAGTGAAAGTTGAGTGTCTAACGGTGGTTTATCCACTTTTCTCGGTCAGTTATGTAGCCCTTTTTAGGGATGTGTGTTGAATGATTTTCTTTTTTTCTAATATTGGTGAAGTGAGCCCTAAGGTTTCGAAACCAAACTCTGAAACCAACTTAGGGGGAAACTCAGAAGAATCACCCAAACCTAAGCCAGAGACTATACAGGAGGACGTCAAGGAGGGTGATGCTGAGGATGAGGAAGGCCTCCCGATATACCCATATGAACGGATAATAACATTGTCAACAGATCCTGTCACCGAAATTGATGTGACCAAGCGAGAGGTATGTGTGTGGATAATTATTGTCATATGAAGACCATTTCATAATTGTTTTGACAAAGATTTGAATAATCTTGTTTGCACAGACTTATTTGTCCTCAGAAGAGTTCAAGGAGAAATTCGGAATGACTAAGGCTGCTTTCTACAAGTTGCCCAAATGGAAGCAGAATAAGCTTAAAATGTCACTTAAACTGTTCTGAGTGCATTTAGGACATCTAATTATTTCTCAAGTTCCTCCAGACGGATTACAGATAAGAGAGAGCATGCTCAAACATTTGTACGTCATTTCTCTCACTATATTTGCAAATTTATAGCATGTTTGGCTAACTTAAAAAGTTTACTGATAAGTAGACAAGTGTGTAAAGTAAATTAAAAGTAAGAAAAGATAAGTTGTCCAGACTTGTTTAGTGAGCAGTTAAATGTAATTTCAATCTTCTTTAAGGCTTAAGCAAACATGCTGTTAATCGCTTCATTTTCACATCTTGATCCATAGACTCAGTCTTACACAGCAAAGAAACCAGTTTCTCAAGCTGTAAGGGATGGCATCAGTGCATTTTTAGCTGCTTCTGCTCGAGATTCTTCATTCCATACTTGGTGAACAAAATTGGAGATAAATTTACTTCATTTTTTTTTTTTTGGGTGAGTTTGTGAGTTAGTTGCTTAATATTCTTTTTGGTTGGAGGTTTGCTGAGGCCTTGCATTTTTTTGTTTTAGTATTGTGCTTCATTTATTTTTTCGTTAGCAGAGTTGCAACTGCAGAATTTTCAGGTTTGTCGAGTTCAGTGAGGATGGAAAGTCTGTATAGGAATGTAAAATCCTTCTAGCGAATAAAAGTGTCATTTGTTTTTTC